GGTCTGTCTAATGGCTTTCAATGCAGAAAACAAAAAATCACCAAAAATTAACAACGACTCAGAACAACACCAAATTAAGTTTGCATACCTTTCACAAGCTGGACTATCGATGCCAAGCATTTAAAACAGGTTTCAAACAGTTTAAGGCACTTTTAAATGAGGGAAAAGAGACATCGTTCTGTGAAAATCCCCCATAGGAAACATCGCTGTGTGAGGCGGCAAATTGATCAGAAAAATCCATCGTTGTGTGAATTCATCGTTGTGTGAAGCACCCGTTGTGCGAGGCACCACTGTATTCACAAAACAATTCATCTGTTTAAACGCACAAACACAAACAATGGGCACAACTGATAAAGAGAGAGTCAGCAAGACTGTTCCCAGTCAGTATCCTCTTTTACCTTTGCATCTTGGATGTCTTTTCCCAAGTGTTGTGACAGAATGCTGGCAAAACCTTGGACGGTCAACGTCTCCACTGAGAGATTGATGGTTTTCCCTATGTAGATTTCAGGGGCTTTTAAGATGTTGAGAACCACAGGGCCCAGATCAGACACAGACATGGCATGAATGAGGGTATCACCCATGGGAATTGCTGCAAAAGAAAGATTAATTCATACACTGATTTAAACTTATGCCTCAAGTTTTTCAAATCCATTGGAGTTTGAAGATCTGCTGGTTCCAAAGAGTTAAAGCATAGGGACAGAGGAGAGGCCATGCAGGATCAGATCAAATATTCTATCTAATCCAGGATTCTGTTCTCACAAAGGAAGGCTGATGGATCTGCTGTCTATGGTCTGGTAAACCAATTCCGGAGTTTAGTCTGAACTATTTTAAGCATACGGTCCAGCACTCGGGTCAGCTCCTGCAAAGTTCAGAATACAGTTGTGCCCCGCTTGACGATTACCCCCTCCACAACGAATCTGCTTTATGATAAGTTTTTTGCAATCGCAAAACGATGTTTAAATGGGGAAAATCTGCTTGATGACGATTCGGGAATCGATTTTTCACTTAATGATGATCAAAAACAGCTGATCACCGGCTTTTCAAAATGCCCCCCCCCACTGTGTTCAGGATGGATTCTTCGCTTTACAGGCATCGGAAATGGCCGCCCTATGGAGGATCTTCACTGCACAATGAGGTATTTTGCCTATTGAAACGCATTTATCACTTTTCAATGCATTTCAATGGTTTTTTTACTTTCACTTGACGACAATTTAGTTTAACAGCGATTTGAACAGAATAAATTGTCGTCAAGCGAGGCACCAATGTAAAACAGGGAAGAGGTTTTTACTCTGACATCACAACTACCAGCCTAACCTGGTTTCTGCAGTGCCCAACCGGCCAGGTATAGGAATCTTTTATAAGAAGTACCCTGATTTAAACTTATGCCTCAAGTTTTTCAAATCCATTGGAGTTTGAAGATCTGCTGGTTCCAAAGAGTTAAAGCATAGGGACAGAGGAGAGGCCATGCAGGATCAGATCAAATATTCTATCTAATCCAGGATTCTGTTCTCACAAAGGAAGGCTGATGGATCTGCTGTCTATGGTCTGGTAAACCAATTCCGGAGTTTAGTCTGAACTATTTTAAGCATACGGTCCAGCACTCGGGTCAGCTCCTGCAAAGTTCAGAATGCAGTTGTGCCCCGCTTGACGATTACCCCCTCCACAACGAATCTGCTTTATGATAAGTTTTTTGCAATCGCAAAACGATGTTTAAATGGGGAAAATCTGCTTGATGACGATTCGGGAATCGATTTTTCACTTAATGATGATCAAAAACAGCTGATCACCGGCTTTTCAAAATGCCCCCCCCCCACTGTGTTCAGGATGGATTCTTCGCTTTACAGGCATCGGAAATGGCCGCCCTATGGAGGATCTTCACTGCACAATGAGGTATTTTGCCTATTGAAACGCATTGATCACTTTTCAATGCATTTCAATGGTTTTTTTACTTTCACTTGACGACAATTTAGTTTAACAGCGATTTGAACAGAATAAATAATAAATGGTCGTCAAGCGAGGCACCAATGTAAAACAGGGAAGAGGTTTTTACTCTGACATCACAACTACCAGCCTAACCTGGTTTCTGCAGTGCCCAACCGGCCAGGTATAGGAATCTTTTATAAGAAGTACCCTCCTATTCATATTCTACAGCAGCCAGTGTTATTGTAAGATTTAATTATCAGTTCATTGGCTTGTATATATAGAACTGAGGGTGGTACTTGGCTTCAGGCAGAAAAAGTCTCCATCCTATACAGTGGTGCCTCGCTTGACGTCGTTAATCCGTTCCAGCGAAATCGCTGTAGAGCGGAATCATCATCAAGCGGGGGGAAAAAACCAATTTAAATGCATTGAAAACTGCTCAATGTGTTCCAATGGGCTAAATACCTAATCATCCAATGGGCTAAATACCTAATCATCCTCCATAGGGCGGCCATTTTCCAGTGCCTGTTTTGCGAAAAATATGTCCTAAACACAGTGGGGAGCCATTTTGTGCAGCGGTCAGCCATTTTGAGAGCCACTGATCAGCTGTTTTTAAACCATCGTTAATTGAAAAATCGGTTCCTGAAGCAGGGAACCGATCATAGTAAAGCGATTTTCTCCCATTAAAACATAGTTTTGCGATCGCTATAGCGATCGCAAAACTATGTTTTAATGGGAGAAAATCGCTTTACTATGATCGGTTCCCTGCTTCAGGAACTGATTTTTCAATTAACGATGGTTTAAAAACAGCTGATCAGTGGCTCTCAAAATGGCTGACCGCTGCACAAAATGGCTCCCCACTGTGTTTAGGACATATTTTTCGCAAAACAGGCACTGGAAAATGGCCGCCCTATGGAGGATGATTAGGTATTTAGCCCATTGGATGATTAGGTATTTAGCCCATTGGAACACATTGAGCAGTTTTCAATGCATTTAAATTGGTTTTTTCCCCCCGCTTGATGATGATTCCGCTCTACAGCGATTTCGCTGGAACGGATTAACGACGTCAAGCGAGGCACCACTGTATAGGATGGAGACTTTTTCTGCCTGAAGCCAAGTACCACCCTCAGTTCTATATATACAAGCCAATGAACTGATAATTAAATCTTACATTGTTGGACTATAACTCCCAGAATACCTTTTTACTGGGCATACTTAGCTGCGGTTACTGGGAGCTGAAGTGCCAGAACACCTGGGGAGCCTGGCTTGGGATCCACTGCTTAGGGAATTTAAAGGAAATAGAGGAGATATCACTGTATTCTATATACAGTAGGTCTGTCGTATCTGGAGGATCAGTATCAGCGGTTTTACTTATCCACAGCCTCAAAATATTAAAGAAAAACAACCACAAATACATATTTCCAACATGTATTACCAGAACTGGCTAAGAGATAGAACCAGAAACATTGTTATATATAACAATAATCATGTGCCATCATAGGGTTTGCTATTATCCGCGGTTTCCAACATCCACAGTAGATCTTGCAACAGGGATACAGCGATCTTACTGTATAGCATCCACTGGACAGGTTGCTGGATGTTACTTCCATACTGGTAAAGGGGTAACTTCTTATCTGCTACCACACACAGGAGTAGCCACCTCCATGAAAACAACTTGTTAGACATTGTTGGACTATAACTCCCAGAATACCTTTTTACTGGGCATACTTAGCTGCGGTTACTGGGAGCTGAAGTGCCAGAACACCTGGGGAGCCTGGCTTGGGATCCACTGCTTAGGGAATTTAAAGGAAATAGAGGAGATTGGTTGCTCTTCCCCAGGAACTGACCTTCAAAAGTATTATCAGCCTAAATTTGTAGCTGGCACATGGCTGTCAAAGGCTGTGGCATCTAGTGGCTTATATAGCTAACACAACAGGCTGCCCCTGCTAAGGGTGGCGCAGTAGCGGCAAGGCATTACAGGTCAGTGTTGTGGGTACAATATTGCCTGTCCTGAGTTTCTGGCCTTCTGATAAACTCGACAAGATACAGTGGTGCCTCGCTTAGCGATGCCCCTGCTAAGGGTGGCGCAGTAGCGGCAAGGCATTACAGGTCAGTGTTGTGGGTACAATATTGCCTGTCCTGAGTTTCTGGCCTTCTGATAAACTCGACAAGATACAGTGGTGCCTCGCTTAGCGACGTTAATCCATTCCGAAAAAAACATTGCTAAGCGATTTCATTGCTAAGAGAAATTTATAAGTCCATAGAAACACATTAAAAACTATTAATGCGTTCCTGTGGGCTAAAAACTCACCTTTAAGCAAAGATCCTCCATAGGGGTGGCCATTTTTGGCGCCTCTTAAGTGAGGAAACACAGCAGGCAGCCATTTTGTTTACCCGGCGGCCATTTTGAAACTACCGATCAGCTGTGCAAAAATGGGCGCTTTGCGATCATTGCTTCCCTGCGGTCATCGCAAAGCGATCGCAAAAACCCTGTCGCTAAGCGATTTCGTTGCTCAATGGAGCGATCGCTAAGCGAGGCACCACTGTAGTCGGCAATCCTATTTTCCATGCTGAAGCGGCATTTAATGGCTACATTTGGGGGGAGTCTCATCATGCGTTTTGTTTCAGGATGCAAAATAAGCTTGGGCTGGTGCTGCTTAGAAGCAAGACCAGGGAGGAAAATTTGGAGGGGAACCCTTGGCAGATACTCTCCCCATACCTATAGTGTAAACATCTTTCCCGGGTTCCTTCTGTGGGGGGCAGAAGTTCAGAAAGTTCTCATAATAGCAAGGCAGCCGAACGCTTGTGAAGGGCACCCCGAGCTTCTGATAATGGGCCTCCGCTTCTCCTTTGCTGTCCAAAAATGGCACCTTCAGGCGCCCACCCGTGACTTTCTCCACATGGTCGAATCCACTAAAGACAACGTGTTTCAAACCCTGGTGTTTGGCAGCCTCTGCGCTGTTCCTGCCCTGCAGAAAGGCAAAGGAAATTATTATCCTCATCTTAGAACTGTAGGACTGGAAGGGATCTCACGGAGTCCAGCCCTCGACAAGGAGGCAGAGTGGGGGAATCGGACTCCCAGCTTCTAACTCCACTGCCAGAGACCTAAACCACTGAGCTATCCAGCTGTTCTGACAAAGGGGCGTTCTTTTTCTGAAGTCATCTTTTCTAACTGTGCTGTTCTACATCAGCATGGAGAGAAACCCTAAGATGTGACAGCTCTAATCCTTGGAAGTTGCCAAGCAGCAGAACTATCCACCATCATCCTCCATGCCATGAGGAAGCAGGCCGGGTAGGTGGGGCTCATCAGCCTTGGGAGGCAGCCCATCAAGAGTGGTTGCAAAGACCAGATAGGCAGGATATAAATAGAATAAATAAATAGGGGAAGGAAAACTCCAATTTCAAACCTCCACTGCCTTGTGGCTATATCCACTGATGGAAAAGGTTTCAGGAGTTAACCTCGAGGCAAAATCCGGAGCTGGAGTCCTGGAGGCAGTTCATGTCGTTCCAGCAACTCCTGGAACCGGTTGTATTGGCTCTTGCCTCTCTATTGGACTATTCTTGTTGTAAGCCGCCTAGAGTAGTCTTAATTGACTAGATAGGCGGGATATAAATATAAATATAAATATAATAATAATAATAGTAATAATAGTAATAGTAATACAGTAGTAGTAATAGTAGTAATAGTAGTAATACTACTAATACTAATACTAATACAGTGGTGCCCCGCACAACGGTTGCTCCGTAGAGCAACGAACTCGCAGAATGGCGACGTTTTTGCGATCGCAAAAGCGATCGCAAAACGGCACCTAGATAGGGGCTGCTTCTTAGATCCTCTACTTACAGAATTAATCCATATTGGCAGCAGGTCAAAAAGTCTGTAGGTCAAGTCTCCATTGACCTACAATGCATTGAAAACCAATTAATCCCATAACCGGCCATTTTTGTTTTATTTTTGTTCCATTTTGGTTTTTTTCTGATCGATTCTCCGGCTGCAAGGTGAATCTAAATTTTGCGGCCAGAGAAGTCTGTAACTCGAAAAATCTGTAAGTCAAGCCGTCTGTAAATCGAGGGTCCACTGTAATTCCTATGGGCTAAATAAAACTGTTACTTCTAATTAGAGCAGACATCCTGAACAAATAAAATTTCTTGCGTGAACACTTATGTAAGAAGTCCCATTGATTCAGTGAAATATACAGTATATATAAATAGTCCTGCAAATGAAAGTGCTTTTAAAATTGAGGCATTAAAACCCCCAACACATACGGGTCAGTTGCATGGTTAGTGCCATATATTGTTTAGGTTTTACATAATTACAATTACCATGATTCCAGACAGAGTCAAACCAGATCATATTCATAGTGCAGACATGCAACAGACACCAGGCTGAAATCCTGCTGGTATAGCTACACCTGTACAAGGGCGATGATGTGAGCAGGAAATTTTTGATAATGACAGACCCCCCCCCCCCAGTTCACTCTCATGGCTATCACTCCCATTAATATTCCCCTGTATCAAGTGGAAGCTGGGGGAGCTATGAGATTGGAGGAGGAAGTCTTTCATTCCTAAGAATTGCCAGGGAATGTATTACTGGCAGGGAATGATTTTTGCTGATAAAAGCCTTCCTCCTACTACCCCATGGCTTCCATGGGATAAAAGCAATATTTGCAAATCAGAAAAGCCAAAGGAGAGAATTGAAAATTTCTTTATTATAAAAAAATCTCTCACTGCTGCTGCTGCCATCACCCTTCCACAGGCTAGATGCTATGCCAACAAGATTTCAGCCAGAGAGTGGTTGGAACTATCTCCCCTGTATTTGATTTACTTGATTGCTTTCTTGCTCCTTGCTGGGATCCCCAGCAGTGACCACAAAGGCTCCATAGGCTCCGAACATGATCTGCTCCAACACAGGAAGGTCATTTAGATCTCCTTTCACCACCTCCGCTCCACGGCTAAGCAGGGCTTGAGCTGCTGGCTGGCTGGGATCACGAGTCACAGCACGGACACTGAAAGTACCATCATCCAGGAGGGCCTGAGCAACCGAACCTCCCTGTGCACCTGCCAAAGGAAAGAGGTGGTCAATAGCGGAACAATTTCTTTTTGCTGAAAATACAGGATTGTGTCCAGATAATACTACCTAGACTGTGGTGGTAGCACTCTGAGTTGCACTGGGAGGCTGGCTCTCGCTTCCCTTAAATCATGGACTGTATAAAGTTCACTAAGCTGGCTGGCTGGATAGCTCAGTGGGTTAGGTGTCTGGCTGTGGAGCCAGAATTTGGGAGTTCAGTTCCCCTACATGTTTGGTGCCCCCCATGTAAAACTTCGTACTTATCCCTGTTATTTATTTATTTATTTATTTGATTTATACCCCGCCCCTCTAGACCATGTCTACTCGGGGCGGCTAAATTTCATTCTGTTGTTTTTAGCCCCGTGCTTGAGCCTATCAGGATCTTTTGAGTTTCATTTCTGTCTTCCAATTCTGTGCCACCCACAAATTTAATAAGCACGCCCTGCACTCAATGTTGTGCATTCCTTTACTGGGTCAATACCTCTCATGCTGCCTCTCCCTCTCCTCCTGCTTTCACATTTTTCTCACCTTGTCGCCCTTTCCCCTGAATCGTTCCAGCCCTTTGATAACATTACAATTTCTGCTAAACCAAAATCCCAACCACCCTCGTCCTACTAGAACCCAAATATTGCCAACCCTTCGCTATTTTGGAAGGGGATCCTCCCCCCTTTAACTTTAAGCATACTGTTAGCTCTAAATCCAGATCTCTACTTACAGCAAATCGTCCCTCAGGGAGAGAAGGATACCAGTGTCCATGCCACTCCCATTTGGGGTAAGGTTACTACTGTAATTATAATAAGTAACAAATAACTCCCTCTAACTAACAGGCATTCCCAGAATTGCTGGCCTCTGTCGTAACTGCAGCGGCTGGTTATTTGGTGTTATCGTTGTTGGTGTCTATTCCTGAAAACCTAGCCTTAAACCAGCAGCACCACATACCGCAGAGTCACCCAGCAACTCCTAAGGTCCCGATCCAGATTCCCCGGCGCCTGCTGGGCTCTTTCCCCAAAGCTATTGAAGGACGCGGGGCGCCTCATTTTGCCTTTCTCGGTGGAGGGGCGGCCCTTCCCGACGTTCAGAGGGGGGGGCATCTTCAGATGCCTGACAGAGAAACTGGGGTCCCCCTCCTCACCTGTAGCTCCAAACACCACGACTGTCTTCTTTTGAGTGGCTTCCATCACGGGACCCTTTTCCCACCGGACGCTACAGCGAGCAGAGAATCTGGCTAAATAACTCCGAAACTCACTCCGCCTCCAAACCACAGGTCCTTGACTCGCCTCAGGACCTTCCCCTCCCCCTTCGGTTGCAGCTGTGGCCGAACAGAGCGGGGTGGTGGTGGTGGTGGAGGATTTAAAACAAAAAGCATAGATTAAAAGCAAAAGCACTGTCCAAGAGCAGAACGGGGCGGAGACCTGGCGGCGTCTTCCTGTGGCTGTTCAGAAGAAAGCAAGGCTCTTCTCTCTCTGGCGGCTCAGTTATTCTTACCAGTTTGAAAGAAGTTACTGGGAATGGAGTCCATAAAAGTCAGATTTATTTTTAAAAAATGTATATACATGTAAACCGGAAGGTCATTTAAATCCTAAACTTCGGAACAATTGGTTGTTGTGGGTTTTTAGGGCTCTTTGGCCCAAGGTTGTTCTTCCTAACGTTTTGCCAGTCTCTGTGGCCATGGGCATCTTCAGAGGACAGCACTCTGTGCTCTGGTGTAGTTGGCTTGGGAGTGCAGTATCATA